CGGAAGAGCAAGTGATCATGGCCCAACTGCAAGCGTCGACGGAGAACTCATCCCAGTTGTTTAAGACAGCGTGTGGATCATTGAGAGAGGACTTAATGTTCATCAGAGCCTCCACTTCGGGGTTGCGAGGCTGGGAAGCGGAGGAGAGAGCCAGGCCAGAGAGTAGCAAGAGGAGAAGGAGGCAGTGGAGAGGCTGAGGCTGAGGCTGAGGCTGAGGCTGAGGCTCAGGCATGCTCATAGTCATGACTGATGGGCGATGGCAGTAGAAACTAGAAACACGACACAAGACAACAACTCTCTTTTTCTTTCCTTTCCTCTGCTCTGCTTTTTAGTGAGCGCCACAATCAAAACGTCTATCTCCTCATGCATTCTATCTCTATTTCCACTTCCATAATCCACTCTATATTGCTTCCAACATCTACCCTTTTTTTAATATAAATCATTTTCATATCAAAATCTAACAGATACACGCTCCTCACAAGTCACAACACTCATATTATCACAAAATACTTAAATTAACTACACAATTATTATAATTTATAAATACAATGATTTGTAATGTTTTATAATTTATAATTGTAATAAAAACTCAATTGTATTTTATTTATTTTTAAAATATGAAACCATGCATAAATCTAAGTACGTTAAGTACCTAACCAATAAGGGTGCCAATTTGTGTATAGGTCTTGGTCTTTTTTTATTTTTTATTTTTTTTAAATAACTAGGAGAACATGTATTGTAATATTGTATCTGAATTCTATATATACTCACTAACGTTTTTAAAGTGTGTTTTATTTTGAATAAAAAATAATTTAAATTTCGTAATTAATACTTCAACAACACTTACTAACAATATTCTTATTACTGTTTTATTGGTTATTAATATTATTATTATTATGGTAGTCAATGTTAAAGAAGAAGAAAAAAACAAAGTTTTTAGTAGAGTATACAAGATATCAAAGCTTTGTTTTAGAGAATTTTAATAAAATCATTTTTTTCCTTCGGACTTCTTTTGCATTAAATATGTATTTTACATAATTAACAATAGGTATTTATATTTTTTTTCCAATAATAATATTATTTAAATCTAATTCACTTGTTTTTTATTTTCATACGTTATATTAAATTGAAGTAATTCCTTTTATACAAGCTGGATATTATAGTAGGGAATATGCTTGTATTACCATTCAATGGGAAACTATCATAATTAAGCTTGTTATTTAGGGATTGTAAGGTCGGTGGAATTTTGGAATATAAATGATTAATTTAGTGTTCTTAAATTTGAATTATGTCTATATTAAAAATAATATTTTTTTAACATAAAGTTATATTTTACAGATACAAATTAGTTGTTAGTTTTTGAATATATGTAATCATGTCTATAAAAAAAATCACAAATTTTCATATACTTATCACCCATAAAGAATTTAATGTACATACAAATTTGTAGTACAAACCAATAAAAACTATCATTATTGTCACTTTTAATTTAATTTTTTTCTAACACTTAAAAATGTAATATCAATATAAAAGTCGATCAACTTACTGAGTAAACGTATAAAAATTATCTATATTATAAATAAAAATAATATATATATATATATCTTAAACGTCATATTAAAAATAATCTCTTGTGAATTGATAAGAGACAAATATAAAATTTTTACACTAATAATTCATAATGATCGGTCTCTTAATATATAATTTCAATCGATTTTAATTTTCAACATATCTTAATTTAGATGATCCATTTCTAAGATGTATTTTTATTTTTAAATTATTATATTTTTATTTATTCTTATTTATTGAAATTAATTGTGTATCATTATTAATAATGTCCATTTTAAAATATGATATTCTAAATGTTATTCAAATTTAAAAATCTTCTTACCCTACATAAAGAACTTACTGATTATACTTAACAAAATTTAGATCGGGACAGTCAAACTTGTTTCACACGTCAGAATAATTTAATATATATGTGTTTTAAATCATAGTTGTATTGAAAATTTAGATTTAGAATATAGAGGAAAAAGAGGTAAATAGAGATGGAAGAATATTAAACAGTGGTAAGCAATTATTAAAAATGTATTGAAGCATCTGTGATTGAGATTTGGGAGTTGAGACATGAGAGGTGCAGGATAGGAGGTACTGATAAAGCAAAGCTGCGTTGATTAGACACTGCGCAGCCAATTGTTCCGTCTAACAAGAGTGACTAGACTAGTGCCTGGGTCCCTCTTCACCCTTCACACACTCATCATTCTTCCTTTGCATTCAGAAATTAAACAAAAAACTTAAAACAATATCTATGGAACAAAACAATTCATTCATGGAACAAATCAATTAATTCAACTTGTGTTCTACAACAAAGAAGAATTTTACCACGAGAAGCAACAATAAAAACTTACGAAAATCATCAACATTGACAAATTAAGTGGTGCAATATTCGTCGAGTCATCTATCTACTTCCCCCATTCAAGTGGGTGTTTAACGTGGAGAATTGTATAAATTTTATGTATTTTATATTAAAAATAATCTTATTTAAATATGAATGAGATCATTATAAATGATAAATTTTACTTTATAAATGTTATATACTCACAATTTAAACTCAACGTCACTAATTAAATTAGAATAATCTTGCATTAGTATGTTGATCTTGCTTTTAATTTTATATATACATTAAAGGATTATCATTAACTTTATGCATAGGCAATATATGCCTTGCTTGCAGCTATAAGATGGACATGGGAAGGCTAGAAGTTTAACGTAACATCCAAACTTTTCTAAATAAATTAATAAGAGTTAATTAATTAATTAAGTTTTCTTATATATAAATATGCGTGCTACCAAACAACAACAAAAATTGTAAAATTATTTTATTTATGTATTAGGAGAAATATGTGTATTTTATATATTTAATTACGAGTTTTAATTAATAAAAAGAGAAAGAAGTGCAATTAAGGTTAATTATTTTTACGGATGATATCAATGGGAGTTAAAGGTAACAAATGTGAATAGTTTTCTTGTTCTTGGATATGAGATACTTACAAATAGAGAGATTAATCTCTAATCTTGCTTCTATCATATGTACGAGGAAGAAATTTTAAATTTGAATTGTAACTTATATTCCTGTGTTTTATACTTTTATTTTATGTGCTTTAATCGTAATAATCGATGAATAATCATGTTTAATTCTATTTAATTGCATGGAATCGTGAATCTATGAGTACATGATGGTTTTTGCGGAAACCTAGGAATATAGTAAGTGAATTTGTATAGAATAATGTATGTGAGAATGTAAATAGATAGTTTTTTTAGTATTTAATCACACTCGTATATTTTTAGCTATTGAAATTTGTCAAATTACATGTTGGGTTGTCTTGTGAGATTTTTGTACTTTTTGCAAAAGTTTATTTTCTAACACTACATAAAACACAAAAATGACAAAGAGTAAGGGATTGCTCTTTACAATTTTTGCGTTGGGCGTAACTAAGGATGACAAATAAACTCGTATCTATAGGTAATATTTACACTCGTCCTGACTTTAACAAAAAATACCTAATTTGACTGAGTACGGATATGGGTAAAATCCAAAATATTAAACTGGGGACAAGGACGAGTATATACTTACCCGCCCCGTCCTCATCTCCATCCTCATCCCTGATTTCACTTACAAGATAAATTCTATTTTTGATTTAAGAAATATCAATTTATTTTGTTATTTCAACACAACATTGTGACTGTTTATTTGTGACATTATTCAACATTTGTAGTTGTTTAGTTTGTAAGATTTTAATTATGTGTAGTTGTTTAATTTGTAAGATTTTAATTATGTGTGAGTGTTTAATATGACGTGTAACATCTATGGTTGTTTAATTATTAAGAATTCTCTTTATTAAAATATGAGATAGAAAAATAAATCAATTACTATTGTAATACAACAAAAAGATAAGTTAAAAGTATTTGTTTTTTTGCAAAAAAAAAATTAATTAATTTTTTACGGGTACGGGTATACCCGATACGTGACGGGAACGAAGATGGGACAAAAATTACATACCCATCAGGTATCGACGACGGGGATGGGGATGAGTTTGAATCGTGGGGACAAGGATGAATATCATAAAACTCGTACTCATTTCGCCTCGTTGCCATGCCTAAGCATAACCCTATTTATGCTTACTTACCGAGTTATGTATGAATGGTAATTGACACGCGTGAGAATGATGTATGAACTATGTTGATTAATGGAGTATATTATATTGATGTATTGTTGGATTTTACCTATTTAATGGTGAAAATAATTTTATGACTACCTTGATGTTATTTCATGGAATATATGATGTGAATGTGTGGTCATGTGATGTGAAGTATAAGATGAGATTTAGTCAAGACGAAAGTTTGAACGTTATTATCTAGCCACAATATAACTTATGATATGTAACATGAACAAATGTGGCATGAATAAGCATTGAGTTTTGTATAATATATATCATTCACATAACTTATTTTGTGACGAATACGATACAAGATACAATATCAAAAAAGGTCTTATTGTATAAAACTTGAAAATTCATTACATTGGGGATAACAAGTTTGAGAGTCCTAATTTTACTCGTGTGTGTACATTAAGATATAATTTGTGTGATACCACTTCTTGACATATTCTAGTATATTTTATCGTAATGTAAAGTGTTATAATATAATGAAATGTTATATTGTCTTAAACTACTCTTCAATTAGTACACAAATTAAAGCAAGATAAAATACACTTTTAAATATTCTCACTTTGAATAAGTTAGTAGGATAACAAAATTACGTTTTTTTCTAACCGTATCAATATCGAAAAGCTTTTATCTTATTCAAAAGTCTTCCCTTGGGTTGAATTTGTTCGTGAGACAAACAAATAAAGTTATCTATTCGTTTGTTCAATTGTCTAAATTTAGTTTGGAAGATTTTGATCTCATTCCAACTTGTACTCAATGATATGATAATACATATATATATATATATATA